CCGGGGGGAAGGGGAACACCCCCCCCTCCCCCCTGCCAGCCTGACACGGCGCTGGCAGCAACTCGGCACCATCACCTGAACTGCCCAGACAGCCTGAAGACTAAAATCTCTGTCCTCAGCCCCATCAGCAACATCTGCCTCAGCCCCCAAACAGCTGGAACGGGGAGAAGCACAAAGCAAAGTCTCACTTTACCCCATCCTTGGGGCTGTTTCTCTCCCCCCATGGCAAGCTCTTGCAAAAGGGGAAGGTTTCCAGCCTTGCTGTGCAGGGATGCTGTTTGCACCAGTGTGTGTTGTAATGATGCTGTTTATTTGTATTGCAATCACTGTCATCATTATTTCATGAAATAATTAGAGGAAAAACCCACACAGCCCTCAGACCATTCCCTGCACCCCCCCTCCCCACACCCCAGCAGCTCCCTATCTGTCCAGTCCTTCTGCTTAATATTGCTGGTTGCCTGCATCAGATAAGGCCCTAGAAGGAAATGAACAGGCTCCTTTAAAATGAGAGACATTTGGGGATTAAATTAAATCCACACACTAATTCAATCGGAGCCTGCTGCTCTTCAGTGGCACGGAGGGTCTGAGCAGGAGCCTCTGCTGGGTGAGGTTTCCATCTCAGGGCTGTGAAATCCTGTCCTCCCAGAAAGGGTCTGAGCTCTGCTCAGTGTCACCTGATGGTGGGGACAGACAGGGCAGCAATGCCAGCAGGGACATCAATGCCACCATGGGCCTCACCAGCATGGAGCCAAGGGCCACCTTGCTGTGCAGAGCTGATTTGGGCCAGTGAGGAGAGGGATGTGACCAGGTTCCCTTCTCACCATCATCATGGCCAAGGGGCTGCTGGAGGAGGTGGCAGGTGGAGGCAGTGCTGCTGCTGGCTGAGCAGGGTGGTGCAGGGGACATCTGTCCTTCCACCACAAGGACTCATCCAAAACACGTCGTGGTCTCACTGGGTTCTTCTCCCTTGGTCAGCAAAAGTAGCTCAGGAGCCAGTGGCCAACATCTGGATCTCCTCATCCCCAACACATTAGTCTCATGGCTTTCAACATCCAAGCCTCCTTGCCTTCAACATCTGAGTGTCCCTATCCTCAATATGTGGGTTTCCCTGTTCTCAGCTCCTGCAATATCTGAGTCTTCCTGTCCTCAAGATGTTGGTTTTCCCACTCTCAACACCTGTGTCTCCCTGTCCTGAACCAGAAAGGCCTTGGGGCTTTACTACATTCACCATGGAGGACCTTACACTTCACTGTCCCAGTTTCTATCTCAGACTAAGTGCCTAAGGCAGAATGTCCCAAGAAAGGGAAGGGAAAGCAGAAGAGCCAGCTGCCTCCAAGCCCCCAGGCAGGAGGGTAATTTTGTCAGGGGTAATTTTAGGGAAGGACAACGAGTGGTCTGATTGGTCTGCAGCAGCAATAGGGTTCCTAATGCCCATCTCCCCGTTAAACAAGCCACAACACACCCCAAAAAAGCCAAACAATGCCCTGCCTGTTCCAGCATCCTCACTTCTGTACCTGCAACCCACTGCCTGGCCTCCCTCTGCCTTTGAGCATCTCTCACTGACTCAAAAGTTTTCTTGAAACCACGAGAGGCAGAATCCCTGCAAACCCTCTGCTCCTCTGTCTGGAACGTGACTGGGTTTCCTCTGGTCACTGCTGCTCTGATGCCAGCAGAGCAAATTCCAACCAACAGGTGTGGGTTTGTCAGCGCGGCCTCAACTTCTCCAGCATTTCTTTCAATAATGAGCCCTTTCTGGTGGCCCATGGCTGGGGCTTCCAGCTGGGAAAACACCAGCCCCAGAGACAGCAGAGCTGTCAGCTGAGCCTGCACTGGCTGCTGCCAGAAGTGCCATGGTATGGGGCTTCCTCTTCAATCCCCAGCCCTGGGAGGTCAGGGTTGGGTTTTTTTGAGGTTCTCCAGCTTCTTGTTTCAAAACCTCTGCTCCTGGCAGTCATGGAGCTGCTGCAGCTCAAGCAAAGCCTGGACACAAGGAAACTGAATTCAGCCTTTCTGGCTCCTGACATGGGTGCTCAGGTTTTGCAATGCACGGGGGGTGGGCAGTGCTGGGTTAACAGTTGGACTTGATGATCTTTGAGGTCTTTTCCAACCAAAACGATTTTATGTTCTTTCTCTTACAGTAAGAGAGGGTTTTCCTCAGCCAAAACCAAGGATTAGGAAAAGCAGTAAAGTCCCTGCAGGACACTGAGATGAGCAGGGGGGCAAAGGACTCACTGCTCTCACTGTGCTCTCACCTCAGGAGGGGTTTAGAGACATCATGAGACACTGCTAGAAGAGCTGCTCTCATGGACCTTTCCCAGACCGTGGCAGCCCCATCCTCCCTGCATCCCATGGAGGAACCTCTCTGGCTCCTGCTCCCCTTAGGATCACAGAATACTTTTGATGGGAAAAGACCTTTAAGATCATCAAATCCAACCATTCCCCCAGCACTGCCAAGCACATCTCTAACCCACGTCCCTCAGCACCACATCTACAGGGCTTGGAAATCCCTCCAGGGATGTGGACTCCACCCCTGCCCTGGGCAGCCTGTTCCTTAAATCTGCCTTTGCTCAAAACTGCCTCTCCTGCCCCCAAAGCATTTAATCCCATGAGATTAAGCCCCCCCTGCCCAGGGAGATTTTGGAGAGAACACAGCCAAGCTTTGCTGTCAGCAGTGAGTTCCCTGTGCACAGGTAACACCCTTGGCAGGTGGGACGTGAGGAAAACAGCACCTGCATCACCCAGGCAAACACCAACATTGCCAAAGCAGGTTTTTCCCAAAAATGGAAAAAAAATAGACAATATCAGGTTTTTAACAAGGGACAAATTGTGCCCAGATCTACCAGAAAAGAAAGTTCTACCTGGCCCTGTGAAACAACACAAACTGTTGGTGATGAGCACCTCGAGATGTAAAAAGTGACCATTAAGACCCAAGTAAGCACATGGCTACAGGAAGCAGCATCTGACACACAGCACAGGGCTAAGAGGAAGAAAACTATGCCAGAAATGCAAAGCAGAACTATCCAAACCTGATAAAATGTTCACGGGAGTTACTTGGCAAGTGCTGAGCAGGAGCCTGGCTGGGCAGATCCTCTCCTTGCCCTCCCGGAGCCGCGGTGGCCCCGTGGGACCAGCCAGAGCCAGAGCTTGGTGCACAGCAGGGTGTTCTACCCACTCCCTACTTCATTACTGAACCAATTAATAATTGATACCGAGCAATTACTGTAGCAGCAGAAGCAGGCACAGATGCCTGAGCCCAAAGAGGATCCAGGAGGGGCAGGGCAGGACGGGTGATGTGAGCACCCAAAGCACGGGCACCACCCGAAAATCCCTGGGATGGAAAGGTCTCGGAGCCTGGGATGGAGAAGTCCTCCCCTGCAGGAGGAAGTGACCCCATGTCCGCAGGCTGCACTAATCCCATTACCTGGTTCCTGTCCTCCCTAATTGCCCGCTCTGCAAACGGGCACCGCCCGGCCCCGCTGCTGCATCTCCCTGTCCCTGCAGACCGTGCTGAGCAGCAGCCGGGGCCCAGCGCAAATACCTGCTGGGGGTGTCAGCAAACAGCCTGGGACAAACCCTCCCCGAGCCGAGCAGCTGGAGATCACAGGTACCTGCTGCTGCCACCGCCCTGACCT